AGGAGGAGTGTGGCCAGCAGGTCGAGGGAGGTTCTCCTTCCCCTCTACACTGCCCTGGTGAGACCTCATCTGGAGTACTGTGTCCAATTCTGGGCTCCCCAGCTCAAGAAAGATGAGGAGCTACTGGAGAGAGTCCAGTGGAGGGCTACGAGGATGAGGAGGGGACTGGAACATCTCTCCTATGAGGAGAGGCTGAGGGAACTGGGCTTGTTCAGCCTGAGGAAGAGAATGCTGCGAGGGGACCTAATATATACTTAAATATCTGCAGGATGGGTGTCAGGAGGATGGGGCCAAGCTCTTTTCAGTGGTGCCCAGCGACAGGACAAGGGGCAATGGGCACAAACTGAGGCGCAGGAAGTTCCGTCTGAACAGGAGGAAGAACTTCTTCCCCCTGAGGGTGACGGAGCCCTGGCCCAGGCTGCCCAGGGAGGTTGTGGAGTCTCCTTCTCTGGAGATATTCCAAACCCGCCTGGACAAGGTCCTGTGCAGCCTGCTGTAGGTGACCCTGCTTCGGCAGGAGGGTTGGACTGGGTGACCCACAGAGGTCCCTTCCAACCCCTACCATTCTATGATTCTGTGATTCTGTGAATAAAGTTAGGTGACAGCATAGGTGGTGTTCTTGAGGCCAAGGCTGTGGTGCGGTTCCAGCTTTGCTGCCTCCAGAACAGAATTGTGGAAGCGGGCAAGAGGAGAAAGGTATATAGGCTGAGACAGTGTTGCTGCAGACGTGTTGTATCCTCTGCTCTTGAGAAGCTGCTGTGCCCCTGACAGAGTAGGAGATTGCTGCCAGCTCTGCATGGAGTATCCTAGTAGTAAAGCAATGGAAGATACAATGGTGGCTTCTCTGGGCCCTCGTGCATATGTGTGTATACCCACAAACCCTTCCTGTGCATTGTGTCCCACAGCTTGGAGACATGCGGGTCCAGGCTCTAAGAACAGTAGGAGCTAGCTGTGAGTGGAAAGCTAATTCTTTCTACGCCCAGCAAATGGAGTATGGGCAATGATAGGAATTGGGTTTCAATTTTGGCCTGGTTGGGGAAGCATCAAGAAAGTAAGGAGCACTGCTTATCTCTTTGGACTTGGCAGGTTTGAGAGAAACAGCTGTGGGAACCAGCCTCCTGCTTTCCTAGGGTGGGCCAAGGTGAGGGTGTGGTTTGTGTGTGTTTGGGTTGGGTGCTGGCTTTTGCCTGATCCGTCATTGCCTGTAGGCTGCAGTAACTGCTCATCTCCCCCTTGTGATCCCTCCAGGAGGCAGCTGTGCGGCTGAGGAGTTACAGGCAGTTGATGAAGAATGTTCTTGAAGACGCTCGGCTGGTCAGGCTGCAGCTGGAGGGTGGAGCGCTCCTGGCCAGACTGAGGAAGGAGGAGTCTTGTGTCACTCTCACCCAGGACTACAGGTGAGCCCCAAGAGTGGGAGAAGCGGAGATGGAGATGAGCAAAGAGCAGGCACTGGGAGGCTCTGTGAGATGACCCATCCACTGATGCAGGCTAGAGAGCAGCTTCATGTAGCGAGGACTTGCTGAAAACAGCAAAGGCGAAAAGCGTAATGAATTTTACCCTTACCCTGACTGCTGCTTCCCTAGCCCAAAAACTTGTCTGGGTGGATTCACTTAGATGGTTAAAATTTCTTTTCCAAGCCAAATCAGACTTATCTTCTGTAGCAAAGAGAGGGCTGGATATTTGTGCATCTCAAACACAGGCCTTAAATGGGGATGCCAGTGATGAATATTTAGGTCCAAGGCATTATCGCTGTGTGATTTACCAAGGTGCTCCTTATGCAAGGGGATTTCCAAGGACCTTAACTGCGAGGAATGCTTCTTGACTGAAGCAAGCTCCGATCTCCTCGCACACTGGTACGGTTTGCGCAACCAAATATTCCCTGCCCATTTGCAGAATCGGTATGAGGAGTGGGGACTGAGAGGGCAGCTCTTTGAAATCGCCAGGGCATTGCACAACTCCTGTTTGTACTGCTAAAATACCTGAAGCCTATCAGCGTGTGAAGGCCTCTGTGCTATGTGCTGTGCAAACAGCAAGGTAGAAAGACAGCCCTTGCACCCAGGAGTTTCCAGCCCGAGTGTGAGGTCAGTGCTGGTGTGTGGGTGCAGACGAGGGCGTAGCGGATGGCAGGGCAGCATGGAATGGCTCCGTGCATCTGCAGCCTTGCTCTGGTTGAACTCTGTGGCCGTCGCAAGCTGGGAGGTTTTGAGGGAGGGAATGGAGAGAAGATAACAAAATAGCTTATCGAGTATCTCACCGGGAAAAGAACAACATTTCTCTTTGAAAATTTAGCAAGTGGATGACAGTGCAAGTTGCTGCCTGTCACTGGGAGGCAGGGGCCAGCATTTTGGTGCTGAGTGAAAGGGGAGCATGGGACAGGCTGTGTAATTGTTTCTTTTCCCTGCTTGCTGGGACTCCTGTCAGCAGCTCTGGCAGGCAGTGCAGACATAGCTCTCTTGCTGAACTGGTGAAATACTCTTGTTGTGATTTTGGGTAGAATTAGTGCGGTAGAACTTCTCTGCTCTGACATGATTGATGTGAGAAGCACAGATAATGTGGGTTGTTTGTTTTGGTTTTTTATTTCACAGAATCACAGAATGGTAGAGGTTGGAAGGGTTCTCTGTGGGTCATCTAGTCCAACTCCCCTGCTGAAGCAGGGTCACCCAGAGCAGGCTGCACAGGACCTTGTCCAGGCGGGGTTTGAATATCTCCAGAGAAGGAGACTCCACAGCCTCCCTGGGCAGCCTGTGCCAGGGCTCTGTCACCCTCAGGGGGAAGAAGTTCTTCCTCCTGTTCAGACGGAACTTCCTCTGCTGCAGTTTGTGCCCGTTGCCCCTTGTCCTGTTGCTAAATTTATTTCACTTTAAGTAACATACAGTGACTTTAGAGCCCTAGGAGAATGGGGAGAACATGCATGCTTTTTATGTTTTGTTTTTGTTTTAAGATAAGTCTGTGTTTGTGATCGTTTCCCTGCATAACTTTGAAACCTGATCTGACAGAGCCCGTAAGGAGAACTTACTGCTTTGATTGCCTTAGCAAGGGCAGGAGTGGGGGATGCACACACAATTCTTTGATTGCACAGTGTGTGAGCGCATGCCGAGGCTGGGTAGCATGTTCTCTCTGTAATTCAGGTTATATTTGTTGCCTGCCAGTATGAAGAGAGAGTGTGTGCTACAGGGCAAATATATGTGGCTCTCCAGGAGCATAAATGAATATAGCAGGAGAAAGTTCATCCTCTCGCCTGTGGAGTGTTTGCAGAAACTAAAATCCATGCAGTGTTCTGATTGAGGAAATGCCTGCTTGTTGTGGAACTCGGGGCAGAGAACTGAAGAAGTCAGCTCTTCCCTGTTCCAGGATCCTTTTACATGGGGAAAAAGCTCTGTCCTTTGGCCAAAGAACTCTGTATAAGGCACTACTGGTTTTAGATCCTCCATGGCACTTGCTCCTTCTCTCCAAGCTGGTGTACAGATATTAAATGTTCTGAGTTCTGCTAACCCTGTAAAGGCTCCTGTGGTTATGATTTTTCAAAGGCTTCTTTAACTAATAGGATCCGAGTAGGGTAGGGACAAAATATGGTAGTTGGCCTCCTAAGCTAGCATGGAGTGACTCTTGGTGTGTGTGGGTCCAATATTAGATTTTTGGCTGGTGACATATGAAAATGGAACAGGACTGGTTGTGTCCATGCACTCAGCAGGGCCCGTCGTATTGCTTTTCCGAACCTTGAATTGTAAAATATTGATCAATGTGTAACAGTCTTTAATTCTACACCCCCTCCCCCAATACTGGAAATCAAATTATTTACAAAAGCAAGTCAAGAGACTTCACCCTTCTGAGCCAGCTTTTGGTCCTTGTGTTAATCACATCCTGTTGTTTTTTCTTCTCTCTTGTGGTGCAAAAGCCTGATCAAGTAGAGTTGTGACTGCCAAGACTTCTTAGAAGTTGAGGCCAGCTGTGAACAGGTAACTGTCAAAATATGTGAGAACTGCATATAAATAGAGGGGAAAAAAATTAAGATTTTTTTTTGCTAACCGAAATTGCAGAACTAAAGGTAAAAAACCTGATCTTCAAAAGGCATAAAGCAGACAAGCCCAGCTGCACTGTCATTAAACAAGCAAGAGATTGACTTGCTTTTTTTGAAGGGGATGTGTTTTGCCAGCTCTCGCAGCTGACTTTCTTGCTAGCTCGTGGCTGCACGTGGCAAAAAGAATACCAGGAGGTGGTAAGAATAGAGATGGACAAACCCATCTGAAAACACTTGACTGCAGGTTAGAGATAGTATGCTAAAACAGGCAAGGAAGCAGGCTTATGCTCAGTGCAGTCAGATGTTATCTGCCAAATGCCTTTTGGGAGCACATAGCAAACAAGACTTGCTTTAGTCTTTCTTTAGTAATGAAACTCTTCCCCCCATCCCCCCCTCCCCGCGGTTGGTTTTGGCATGCTTCCCTGCTCTGCCCTCATGGAGAGCTGAGATGCCCTTTGGAGTGTTTCATGACACAGAGCTGTGGGATCTCACTGCTGCTCAGGTCTGGCCCAGGCTTTGTGAGAATTTGCTAAGCCAGTCACACAGCTCCTTTCCTGCAGAAATTGAACTCATCCCATCAGATGTGGTCATGGAGGAGAGATACATTGTGGCACACCCATTTGTTTTTCTGGCAGATGCTTGAAGAGCCTCTGGGAGTCCCTCCTGGATGGTCCCATCCTGAGGGATGCTGTAGCACCACAGCGGTAGCTTTGAGCAGTAACTCTACACATTCTCTGTTCCCAATGTGAGCTGACCAAGAGTCTCCATACTCCTTTTTTCCACCAATTGCTACTGTATAATATAGTCTTGCCCATCCAGCCACTTGTCCACAAAGGAAAAGAAAGACTTCTCCAAGCAGTCTTTGTGGATTTCAGCCTTTTCCTGACCTAGAAAGTGGGAGTTCTGTTGGCAGAATACGAGTCCTGCAGGCAGACTGTCACAGGGAGCTGGCTAAGGGGATATGGTGTGCTCAGCTTGTCCCACACCGCTCTCCCACCTCCAGAAAGAGCTGGCATGGGTGTGGTACGATAAGCCAGTATCTTTGTGGTACCTCTTTGAGCGCTGCAATGATAGCGTCAGCACGGGCTGGCCACCCGAAGGTGCAGGTGGACCGCTGAAGGATGCGTTGCCACATACGCATTGTTGGTGGAGCTGGCTGGGTTTAAAGCCAGCACATTTACCCTCACACCATCTGCTGCGATGATGGCTCGGTGCTTCTCCAGGTCTGTTAGCTGAAAGCTTCCAGGTTTTACTGTGCCAGTCTTTCTGGGGATTAAAATGCAGAGCTGTTAGCCTAGCTGAAGTTCCTGTCGGTAAGTGTGAACAAATGTCATGGACACATCCAATGCTTTAAGGCTAGTAATACTTATTTTTGTACTTTTGGATAGGTAATCTTTAATAAACTGATTCTTTATCATAAGTTACATAGGGATGGCTAGCAGGTGTATCTTTGGCTTCTGAATATCTTGTGTATTGATCAACCAACCTGTGGCTTGAAGGCAACTCTCTAAGCCTGTTGTGGAAGGTGGACTAATGTGTTGTTTGTTTTGCGGTGGATTTCGAAGACTTCTCTGACACCTCCGTCATAAGTCTGGCGAAACTGACAGGAGCTAGGCAGCAGCAGTGGGAGCTCTTACTAAATGAGGCAGTTGCGTAGGGCTGGGCAGCAAGACAGGGAGACTTTTAATCTGGTCTTTAGCCAGACTTTTTCCACTGTTCTCATTATTGCTGCTCTTCCAGCATAGCCGAGAGCTGGGAGCACTTGCCTAGACAAGGTGTCCAGTGATGCCTTTCGTCCTCTAGATATGCTATGAGTCAGAAGTGGACTAAAGAACTTATAAACATTTTATATTAATATAAAAATGTCTTATATTAGTCGAAGCAGAACACACCTGGCACATGCCTGGCTCTTACCAGCGAACCTGCATGCTCAGTGTGGCACGGGAGTGGGATTGCGTTATGCTCTGCATGTTGGCAGGCAAGATAGCCAGAAGACTAGATGTGAGAGCTGAAAGAGAAACCTCAGATGGTGAAGGCATGACCAGGTTGGGTGCTGTGCTCTGTGCAACATGGAACCAGAAAAATCATAATCTCCTCCCCCAAGCTCCTCATCTGAAAAGAATTTGCACTTGCAAGCTATGAATAAGCAGCTTATAAATAGATGGAGGAGTGAATTCTCCTTTTGTTTGCAGAAAGCAGTGTAGTTAGTCTCTGTACTTGGAGGGTGGAGTGGCTAGAGCCAAGAGCTGGCTTTGTCAGCTGGCTATTTTTAGTGTGGCTTGGTGATCTGGTTGGAAGCCCTGGGTGGGGACCTGAGCTGAGCAGAGGTAATGGGCAGTGCGGAACAGACTTCCTGAGCAGCAGCTGCCAGGTTCCTGA